AATTTAAGAATTTATTTCAGAAACCAAGTTCCGAATTTTTTTACATGTGTTCGGAAGTTAAAAATCGAATAAACTTTTTTCATTCAGATAACTAATACCGAATAAGCAAAATCGAATTGCTTCCAGAAAAAACAAGAGTTATGAAAAATAAGAGATAGATGGAGTTGTAAGTCTTTAATGGAGTTCGATACAAAATGATGTTGTTTCAAGATCTATGTTGATACAAGTCGATGCCAATTAATGACTTTTTTTATGTTGACTGGATTGTTAATTGAAGGAATCAGTTTGATGATGTAACTGGAAATCAAATGAGGTAGTTTGTTGTATAATTTGAAGATTTATAGAACAATTTGCTAAGGGATTTTTTGTGAAAGATTTGTGTTTTCAAGGTGGGTGGAATAAAAAATGGGTCTACACTATTTATTCTTTGTGGAACAAATGGTTTAAGTGGTGTGTATACAAGGATGTTAGTTTAGGATATAATGGAACATATGAGTTGTTCACTTACAACAAAAACATAAAACTAATGTCGTACGGGTGTGCATTGAAAAATTATGTACACAAAGATAAAAGAGTGTGTGGAAATAGAATTTCCTCCAACTGAAATTTAAAAATTTTAATTCCTATTATACCTTAATGTAATGCATTAAACCTTAAAATAAAATATTATTTTTTTCTCATGATACACCGCAGTCAATTAGACGTATTCTTCCCATTCAAATCTCTTTATTTTCTTATCCAAGTTTCAATTATTTTCTCTCCTTATTATTTTTTCATTCCAAAATTTCAATCAACCCATCAAAACTCACTATATCATCAACATCATTGTTTTTTTTTTGTTATATTGTTACTTGAAAATAAAAATAAAAAAGTTTGAACAAAATCAAACAATGAATGAGAGCAATACTCAAAACAACTTTTTGAAGTAACCATCAAAAATGAGGTAAGTATTTCCATAAATATTAAAGTACAATTATTGATTTATGTGTGTGTGTGTGTGTGTGTGTGTTTTTTTTACATAAAATCAAATATTCAGCTTATTTTTTGTCATTATTGTTCGGACTTGTAGAACCGAACAAATTCACTTTGTTCGGTTCTAAAAATCTAAACGCGAAATTCACCCTCTCCTTCGTTGTCCTCCTTCGCTAGTGTCGGGTTTCCTAATCATATTCCCTATATTCCTCACATGCACGTGAACAAAAGAAAAAAAAAATCATGGATTTTTCAAAAATAATTTGAATTTTTTAATTTATTTTATTTTGGTGTATCTCAAAATGGTAATTTGAGAAAAACATATAATGTATTGAGAATAAATTGTAACTTTAAATAATTTAATAGGATGTACTGAAAAATTAAGCTCACTTGAACATTTTTTTGAGTGTAAATAGAATTTCCATACTATTGAATGCCCACTGGATTGAACCAATCCCACCATTCATTAGTGGGGAATGCAATTAAATAATACAAAAAATTATTTAAAATACGAATTGTCTCTTATGGTTTGAAAAATTACAAATACTATATTGTCGGAATTTTTTATTTAACAGAATTAATTAAAAAAGTGAAATTTCTAACTGTTTACCTATACAATAATAAAATTATCTGAATTATTAATTGAAATAAAATTTTAATATTATTAAAAACTGTTAATTCACTTGATAATTTATTAATAAAATGACCTATTTGTCACGAAATTAGAAACTTTAAGGGGCAAAATGTAATTTTTAGAATTACATGAAATAATTTGTAATTTAAGTAAATCTCAGAGAGTGTGTTTGCAATTTATCATTTTTTTTAAATAAATCAAGAGGTACAACCACTGCAATTATGTTAATTCATACAATCAACTTAAAAAAAAAAATTTCTTTTTTTAACAATCACCTTAAATGTTTTTTATTTTTTTTTGGAACAGACACCTTAAATGTTGAGGATGTCAAATGTTGTCCAAGCCCATCTGCGTGGTTAGATATGATTTGGCCACACATGAAGATTGAATCATAGCCATTCGTATTTCGGTTTGACCCCAAGAGTCGGCCTTAAAGCATCACTCTTATATAGAGAAATGCTTGAGAGCTCTAGGATAAGAGCTCTAAAATATGCACTAATGACATGAATGTATGTGGGGTCCAGTTTGATGTGATGTTTTAGCTTGAATTTTTTTTTTTTTTTTTTTTGGACATGCCTATACAATAATAAAATTATCTGAATTATTAATTGAAATAAAATTTTAATATTATTAAAAACTGTTAATTCACTTGATAATTTATTAATAAAATGACCTATTTGTTACGAAATTAGAAACTTTAAGGGGCATAATGTAATTTTTAAAACTACATGAAATAATTTGTAATTTAAGTAAATCTCAGGGGATGTGTCTGTAATTTATCATTTTTTTAAATAAATCAAGAGGTACAACCACTGCAATTATGTTAATTCATACAATCAACTTAAATTTTTTTTTTCTTTTTTTAACAATCACCTTAAATGTTTTTTATTTTTTTTTTTGGAACAGACACCTTAAGGCCATGTTTGTTTGGGCGGACTGGATTAGTATTCCCATGACTAATAGTCCTAGGACTACGAATCCGTTGGATTATGTATCCTATCTTAACTAATAGTCAAGTTTAAAATAATTAGTCTGTATTTCAATTGTTTAACCAAACATCGATTAATAATTTTATTGGACTATTAGTCCAATTCCAAGCTCATGTCCACCCAAACAAACATGGCCTAAATGTTGAGGATGTCAAATGTTGTCCAAGCCCATCTGCGTGGTTAGATATGATTTGGCCATACCTGATGATTGAATCATAGCCATTCGTATTTCGGTTTGACCCCAAGAGTCGGTCCTTAAAGCATCACTCTTATATATATCGGTGCCGCTACATAGCCCGAATTTCAATCAACTCGAATGGCCCGAATGAGTTGGCAAGAGGTTGTCTTTTCCTTCGTCCAGTCGCACACCTCCATACAAGCACGCGTTTGATTTCCAAAAACAAAGATGAAGCAAGAATAGAGAGGAAAACAAAGACGAAGTGGGAGTAAAGAGAGAAGATGACAAAATTGTAGCTCGTGACCTACTGGCCGACCTGTATGCCACTGCTGATCACCGGCCTGGTTAGTGCTGCTCACGATCAACCTAGGTGACCACCGACGACCACCAAATTATTCTTTTGCTGCCAGCACTATCAACCTGTTCGTGAATCGCATGTCAACGTTAGTGGCTACAACTTACGAGTATGTGTGTCTTCAACTTCAACTCATTCACTCTCTCTTGTGTAATCTGTATATATATATATATATATGCCTATTAAATTTGGGAATGATTTGCTTGTGTAATCTGCAACTCACGGGTACCTGGATTTTTTACTCTCAAGGTGTTCGATGATTTGCTTATGTTGAAATGGTCGAGTAATGATCTGGGATAGTTAAGGTGTACAAACATATTGAGTAATGATCTGAAATTTGTGGGAGAAATCTTCAAACAAATTTAGAGTTTGAAACCAATCGTGGGGAGTTTAATATCATAACCTCCTATTAAATGTTGGAAACTATTTAAGGCCTTATTGAACATATTTTGCTTTGTTTGTTTGTGTTTTCCTAATAATAGTTGTGAAAAACTATTCAGCAGATACAAGTAAAATGCATGTAAGGTTGCAGATATAAGTAGAATACATGTAAGGAAGGCCCAACCCTTAATGGGGCTTAAGGAAAAATCTTAATAAGAGGCCTTCTTGATCATTTATTCTGATAATTTAATAATACATGTTTTATAGCATTGTTTTATTCTAATTAAATAATACGTGTTTTATTCTAATTATTTTGGGGTTATTCATAGCAATGTTTTATTCTGATAATTTTGGGGCTAAATAATACATGTTTTCTTTTATTCTGATAATTAAATTTTGGGGCTATTCATAGCCTTTATTATTACAAGTTTTTGGACAAGGAGAGCTTTTCTTTTTGCTTTTTAAACTGTTAAATCATTATGTGTGGACAAGAAAATTTTGTTCTTTATTGGGTTTTTGGACAAGGAATGTTATTTTAAGTTTTAAGCTGCTACTTGAGTACGTAAAGCTTTGGAATTATTTAGGATTGTATACTCTTTCTCATTGTGAATTTATATTTCAGTTTTAAGCTACAATGGACATAGATTCAAACAATACTTCATTCGATGGGATTGAGGAAGTTGAAGAACCGCAGAACAATCTTTCATTAAATGAGAGTAGTGAAGTTGAAGAACCGGAGAAGAATATGCATTTTAGCTCAAAGCAAGAAATGTTCGCGTTTTATGCGAAATATGAAAAACACCTAGGATACAGTAGTTTTTCATGGGCAGAGCAGGTTTTTCATAGACACAGTAGTTTTTGCTGAAAACAGAGTTCTGCTTAATTTGTGGGTGAAAACAGAACAGGTTTTTGTTGGGGGTGAAAACAGAACAGGTTTTGTAACAACATATTGATCACAAATAGAGCAAATTTTGGTTGATGGACAGAGCAGGTAAAAGCATGGACAGATCAGGTTTTGGTTCATGGACAGATCAGGTAAAAGCATGGACAGATCAGGTTTTGGTTCATGGACAGAGTAGATCAGGTTTAGAACATGTATTTTGGCCTTATTAATTTGTTGCTCACACAAAAAAGAACATGTAAATCAACAAGCAGATAAGGTTTAGAACATGTATTTTGGCCTTATTAATTTGTTTCTCACATTCAAGAACATGTTTAAATCAAAAAAAAAAACATGTAAATCAATAAGCAAATAAGGTTTAAAACATGTATTTTGGCCTTATTAATTTGTTGCTCACATTCAAGAACATGTTTGAATCAAAATAAATAAATAAATAAATAAATAAGAGCATGTAAATCAATAAGCAGATTAGGTTTAGAACATGTATTTTGGCCTTATTAATTTGTTGCTCACATTAAAAAACATGTAAATAAACAACAATTGAAAACTGAACAAGTTTTTTTTTTCCACATTCAAATCATCACAACACATACTCACAATCCATCAAGTCCATTCAATCCATAAGTACATCCTTCAAATTCCAAAAATGCTAACAACTGAATAATTTACATTATAAAATAGAAAACAATACAAAATACAATAACATAAAGCATCGCCTTGAAATTCTTCTCCATCATTTGAAGCCTTATACCATGCTCATCAATTTCATTATCCATCTTTGAAACCCTTGTTCTTAGATCGTTAAATTCTTCGTTTCTTATAGCTTTACGAGGTGTAGTATTGGAACGGATTATGGAGATCACGTCGTCGTCATCATCATCTGTGAACTTGAAGTAATTGCAATGTTCCTTATTACTCTACAGTGCATGACAATCAGTTAATCAAATCAGGCTAATCAATTTCCAAACAAATTTACAAACAAATTTCTTTACATATTTTGATGGGCACACAAAGAATAAATATCCTTGATTTTCATTCTCATTAGTTCGGACAACGTACATGGCAGTTATTCTTCCACAATCACACATTCTTGATTTTAATCTTATGTTGCTATTGTTAGTAGAGGAACAAGCCATTTTTTAATCTGAATACAACATACCAAACAGACATGATACATAGAGCAAGCAGTGGCAAATTTCATTTAGAGTCACTTATAATGTTATGGAAAATGATCTGTTTTTACATAATAATTCCCATCCAGTACTCCTTTTCTTGCTCGAAACTTGGTGTCAGTACCTTAACAAAGGAACTTGAAAACCTTTCAAGGAGAAAATTCCATACAGATTCAAGATTAATGTTTTTCAGTACACAACTGCTAAGAAGGGTATGAACATGTGTAGTTTTCTTGCTATGGTAGGATTGCATAGTGATCATATGCGGGAGACCTGATATGATAGATGCAAATAGTAATCCTTATTTTGGGAAAACAGATATCCAAGAGTAATTCATATTTCATAGACAGATATCCAAGAGTAATCCTTATTTTGGGTAAATAACAGATTTCATCAACAGATAATAAACTTTCAAATGCAAAGTTTTAAGCATTGTGTTGTCCATGCTTTTCTAATTGAACCTCGTCAAGCAAATTAAGTTACAAAAATTGAGTCAAAGATGTTCATTTACTTTTGAACATTAAGTTAGAAAAATTAACCACATTCAGAAGTTAGAATATTGGTTTACAATCAAAATCAACATTACAAAAAAAAAAATTCAAGGCAAAACCCATAATGCCCAAACCCGGGTTTTTATGAACCCTAACAATCATTCATTCATAAGGCCGAAAAATATGTTCTAAAAATTCAACTCAAAACTAAAACCCTAACACAAATTGCAAGCAGAATCATAACACAAATAGTTTGGTACGACGAATTTGTTCAGAAATTGAAGCGAACACATAAACCTAACACATAAACCCTATGTTTTTTGCGATTTCAAGTTTACCTTTTGTTCTGCTGGGTAAACGACTTTCCGTCTGCAATTCGACACCCGTAGCTCAAGATTTGTTTCTACTCGTTCACAGAGTCGGATGTTTCATAGAGGGATGAAGGATGAGAGGATCGAATGAGAGGATTTCGAAGAGAAATTAAGTTAAGGGCCCGAATGCTTTTGGAGTGAGTAGAGAGAGTATTTTGGAGTCTGAGGAGAGTATTTTGGAATCTGAGGAGAGAGTGAGCACAAACAAATGGTTTTGGAGTCTGAGGAGAGAGAAAACACTTTGCTTTTTATTTGGGCCATTCGAGCTCTTAATTTTGAGCTACAGATCATTTTTCTATATATATTAGGGTTGGAAAATTCTAAATATAAATCAAATTCATACAAATAATTTGACAAGGATATGATAATATCATTATTATAAATAAATTCATCTTGAATAGAGTTTTATTTTGAAGTAAAAGATCATAATGAGACACATAATTATGTATGAATTTTTTTATTTATATAACATTACTCGTTGGGGGTAACTATATAAATTCGGATCGGGTAGGATCTGTTGGAAAAATGGTTTATATAGGCTTATTTTGGGCCGACTTTGAGCCCAAAATTGAGTGGGCCCCGAACGTCTTTTGGGGTAGGTTCGAAGAGGTGAAGTGTTCCTTGCCGCGTGGCAAGTGACACGGTGAAAACGGTTCGTCAAAACCATTTATGAGTGAATGGGAACATGACGTCGTTTTCGGATGGGTGGAATGAACATTTAAAGTTTGTAATGTGGGTTTCCTTGTGAGACTTGTCGCACATTGAAACTTTAAGAGAGTTTTGTTGAGTTTATAAGTTCTAGCCTACAATACGTGGGTTGGGCCCCAAAGGGCACCCTAAGTTTGTAGAAGGAAAGAGTTATGGACAAAGTGAACCTTAGCCCAAACCACCACACGCGCGCGCGCCGTCGCCGGCGTTTGTCCAGGCCGGGCGCGGGTGGTGGTGGTGGGTCAGTTCTAATATTAATTTTTTACAGAAAATTTATTTGAATTTTTCCTAAAAGTTCTTGCGGGAAAAATTGAATTTTGAATTTGAATTCAAAATTTTTGTCCAAACAATTGTGTCTCTTCTTTTATTCCACAATAGGTTAATACAGTCCAAACAGAGCACCCGGACAGATTTAATTTCAAAATTGTCCAGGCAATTTTAGAACAGGTATATAACTGCTGCAATTACCAGCAGTTAATCTGTTGAATCTGTTGCAGATCTGTTTAATTTCAAACAACATCTGTTCAAAATCTGTTTCACACCTATTCACCATTTTTGCACCTGTTCGGACAGGATCTTTTTTGCCTATAAATACTTACTGTTTCAGCAATCTTTTGGGATCCGAAAATCAGTCTCAATATAGTCTCATTGTTGTCCGTTTGCTCTAGTGCATTTATTCTTCATATATTAGTTTTAGATTAAATATTCAGAGAGTTAGAACACAGGTTTGGTTCGCCGAACAATTTGTTTTGAAGTGCAACTACAAATTGGTTAAGATCATTGTATCCTGGGAGATAGACGCTACTTAACCGTAAGCACCATAGCGAGGCGAATCTATCTTAAGGACAGAGTGTCACACACTCGACTTGGTCTTTTATTTTTAATTCGGTTCGATAAATAAATTCGGTACGTTATTTGTTTGTTTTGTTTGATTTATTTCAATTTATTTTTTTACACAGGAGATTGTTCCGATAATCTTAAGACAGATTCGAATTATTCTGTTTACAGAATTTTTCGTTTGTTTCCTTTTCTCTTTCTTCTTTTAAGAAAAATTATTTTCTGTGGATTTACAAAATAATATTCTAGTTGGAAAAACAAATAGTAACTATATGCTATTTGACAGATAATAGTAATATACTGTCTATTTTTTTTGACAACTAGTAGTACAATACTGGTGTCATTAACAATTCAGAATATATTTTTGTAGAATTGTTTCAAAAATTAATTTTGGGTTTTAGAAATTATTTTCTGAGTTTTCATTACTTAAAATTCTGTTTTAATATTTTAATTATTGAAATGTTACAGAAATTAATTTTCGGTGTAGAATTAATTTGGTTAAATAAAATTTTATTTTATTTCCAAATTAATTGAAAAATAAAAGTTATTTTCTTATTTCTTTTATTTTTATAGAATTTAATTTCCTGTGTGGAATTAATTTGGTTGAATAAAATTTTATTTTATTGCCAAATTAATTGAAAAAATAAAAAGTTATTTTCCTATTTCTTTTATTTTACAGAATTTAATTTCCTGTGTGGAATTAATTTGGTTGAATAAAATTTTATTTTATTTCCAAATTAATTGGAAAATAAAAGTTACATTCTTGTTGCTTTTATTTTTACAGAATTTAATTCTGTGAATTTGGTTTAATTTTCTGTGTAGTATAAATTTTAATTATAATTTTGTTTTACAAATTAGAATTGATGGCTACTGAAACTAATGCCCAAACAAGTACTACTGTGGTGGCTGCAATTGCACCAACCCCATCTCCTGTGGTGACAGTACCAATAAATCATGGAGAGAAGCCAGAGAAGTTCTCAGGAACTGACTTTAAAAGATGGCAACAGAAAATGTTGTTCTATTTTACAATTCTGAACCTGGCTCGTTCTCTCCGTAAAGATGCTCCTATCCTGAAAGAGGATGAAACCGACCAGCAAGTGGTTGCTGCGGTTGATGCCTGGAAACATGCCGATTTCCTTTGCCGGAACTACATCTTGAACGGACTTGACAACACATTATACAACGTCTACAGTCCTATCAAGACAGCAAAGGAACTTTGGGAGTCTTTGGAGAAAAAATACAAAACGGAAGATGCCGGCTCAAAGAAATTTGTGGTTGACAGATTCTTGGATTTTGTAATGGTTGATTCAAAAACTGTGATCAGCCAAACTCAAGATTTCCAACTCATTCTGCATGACATTCACGCAGAAGGCATGTCTCTCAGTGAATCCTTCTAAGTTGCAGCCTTAATTGAAAAATTACCAAAAGGCTGGAAGGAATTCAAGAACTACCTCAAACACAAGCGTAAAGAAATTTCTATGGAAGAATTAATTGTGCGTTTGAGGATTGAGGAGGACAACCGCAGTTCTGAAAAGCGGGCTAGTAAGCATCCTATGGAGTCTAAGGCAAATGTGGTGGAATATGCTTCAAAAACCAAGAAACGAAAGTCTTCTGGAGAAAATTCATCACAAGGCTCTAAAGGGGGGAAAAATAAAAAGTACAAGTTTAATGGCGAATGTTACATCTGTGACAAAGAGGAACATCGGGCCAAAGATTGCCGTAGCAAAAGCAAAAGCAAAAGAAGAACAAGCAAGAAGCCTGCTCAAGCCCATATGACCGGAGTGGACAATATTTCCAATGGTATAGATGATATCAATCTTTCAGCAGTTGTTTCCGAGGCAAATCTTGTCGGAAATCCTAAAGAATGGTGGGTGGATACTGGTGCTGCTCGCCATATTTGTGTCGACAAAAAGATGTTCACATCTGATTCTTCAGTGGACAATGGTGAACAACTTTTTATGGGCAACTCCTCAACTTCCAAAGTTGAAGGACAAGGAAAGATTGTACTCAAGATGACATCTGGAAAGGAACTCACTCTCAACAATGTGCTGCATGTGCCGGACATTCGCAAGAATCTTGTTTCCGGATCTCTGTTGAGTAAGAATGGGTTTAGGCTAGTATTTGAGAGTGACAAATTTGTACTTACTAAGGATGGGATGTATGTAGGAAAAGGTTACATGTTTGATGGCCTTTTCAAGTTAAATGTAATGACCGTTGTACCCTCAGTTATTAATAATACTACATCTTCTTCTTACTTGCTTGAGTCTTCAGATTTATAGCATGGTAGACTAGAACATGTTAATTATGGATCTTTGCGTAGATTAATTAATATGGAATGTTTACCTAAATTTGCAATTGATTCAAATCATAAATGTGAAATTTGTGTTGAGGTAAAATTATCTAAAACTCCTTTTCATTCAATTGAAAAAAGTACAGAACCACTTGAATTAATTCATAGTGACATTTGTAATTTTAAATCAATTCAAACTAGAGTTGGGAAAAAGTATTTTATCACTTTTAAAGATGACCATACTAGATATAGTTATGTTTATTTAATTCGAACCAAGGATAAAGCTTTGGAAACTTTCATTCAATATATGAATGAAGTTGAAAATCAACTTAGTAAGAAAATCAAGAAACTTAGAAATGATAGAGATGATGAATATGAAGCACTTTTGGTGAGTTTTGTAAAAAACGTGGAATAATTCATCAAACCACCGCTCCTTACTCACCTCAGCAAAATGGAATTGTTGAAAGGAAAAATAAGATTTTAAAAGAAATGATGAATGTCATGTTAATAAGTTCTGGATTGCCTCAGAACTTGTGGGGGGAAGCAATACTTTCTGCTAATTATATTTTAAATAAAGTACCCCGAAAGAAAGTGAATCAAACACCTTATGAAATGTGGCATGGTAGAGTATCATCCTACAAATACTTAAAAGTGTGGAGGTGTTTGGCTAAAGTGGCTATTCCTAATCCTAAAAAGACTAAGATAGGTCCTAAGACCATTGATTGCATTTTCATTGGTTATGCCAAGAATATTAGTGCATATCGGTTTTTGATTCTTAAATCAAAACATTCTAAAATGCATGTAAATACTATTATTGAATCTCGGAATGCATCTTTCTTTGAACATGTATTTCCAAATAAGACTGGACAAGAGACTAGTAACAATAAAAGATCTCATGATACTATTACTAGTCAGGATTAAGAACATGATCAAGAACAAGAGTTAGATCAAAATAAGGAAGAGGAACCTAGGCGTAGTAAACGTGCTAGAACCTCAAAATCTTTTGGTCTAGATTTTCTAACATTTTTGTTAGAAAATGGGCCTTTAACTTTTAAAGAGGCTATGTCTAGTCCTGAAGCTCCTTTATGGAAAGAAGCTATCAATAGTGAAGTTAAATCCATCTTGTAAAATCACAGTTGGGAATTGGTGGATTTGCCACTTGGTTGTAAACCTCTAGGGTACAAGTGGATTTTCAAAAGAAAATTGAAAGCGGATGGATCAATTGACAAATACAAGGCAAGACTTATGGTCAAAGGATTTAGACAAAAAGAAGGTCTTGATTACTTTGACACATACTCACTGGTTACTAGAATAACATCCATTAAAATGCTAATT